GAGGCTGCGACGGCCACTCGGGGCCGCGCGTCCTCTGAGCAGAGCGCCCGGCGGCTGCGGGACACCACCAAAACAGGGACACCGCTGGACACCGCCTCAGCTCGCGCCTTTCCTGCCGTGCCTACCGCTTCCCTCCTGGGCTCGCAGGGCCTTCTGGGAACTGTAGTTTCAGGCTCCCGGAGCCGCACGTCGTGGGCGGAGCCAGGCTCTCGGGGCGGAGCCAGGCGGAGAACACCCAGGTCCTACCAGGAAGCAACCCGGGTAGGGAGGTGCCCCCGGAGAGACCTCCCGACGTGCTCTTGACCCCGCCCACCTCCCTCCTGGTCCTAGGGGCGAGGTTTCCTTCGAGCCTGTCACTCCCGTCCATACTGTAAAGCACGGGAGAGGAAGGACGCAAATGCTTTTAAATCTAGCATGGCTTTCCTGGTATTAATGCGTTTATGTAATATATAAAAGAACTATTTAAATGTCAGTGTTTCTATGTGTCACCTTGGAAGTATAATAAAAATACAACAAATAGGAAGGCAAAATACACTCTTTTAATGTAACTTAAAAATGGGTTAAGTGGGGCCGGGGAGATGGCTCAGTGGAATAAGCGCTTGCCTGGCAAGCTCAGGCACCTGAGTTCAATACCCGGTTCCGCAAAAAAAAAAAAAAAAAAAAAGAGGGTTAAGCATTTGTGTCTCCTGCTGAGTGACCTCCTGAGGACAGACACCACTGGATCTTGGGCCTTGCTGTGTCTGTTTACCACAGCATCTGGCACCAGGCTGAAAGTTTGAAGAAGATATGAAAGATGACAACTTGAGCTAAGGGGCAGGCCCCCTAAAAGATGACAACTTGAAAGAAAATTCTTATTTGATACAGTGCGGCCTCAGTGTAACCCAGGAGAGAGACAGAGACCAAGTTACAAAAATTTGAATAGCAACAAAATGTAGACAAAATGAGTAAGGAGAAATCAATGGGAGAAAATCACATTTGTCACCTTTACACAGAAGTTGAAGACCAGACCAGGTTAAAACAGAAATTTGAACAATTGAAACTTGAAAATAATCTAATCAGAAAGTGAAAATGAGTTTGGCTAACATCATTGGCCATACAAAGTAGGAATTCTTCTTAGATTTACTACCAGTGCTGAAATGACGTGAGAATAAAAACAGAAAGAACTATATTGGATTATTTTGTTGAATTCAAGCACTTACAGTATTTAAATGGCAATGGAATACCCATCTCTGACAAAACTAAACAAAAAAGGGGATACAAATGAAAGACCATTTTGTATCTGTATATTCAAAATAGGATAGATATACAGCTACTTTCTCTTAATGAATAGAAAGATTTGTACCAATAGTGTTCGTGGACAAGATATCATGTCTGCATCTCACTATGAATAGCCACTAAGAAGACAATATGCAATGTATTAATTATTGAAACTGTCCTACTAATCGGTTTTGAAACTGCCTCATTGCTATTTGTTTCTCAATAAAATTATTTTTTTTTAAAAAAAAAGAGAGAGATGGGGCTGGTGAGATGGCTCAGTGGTCTAAAGCACCTACTTAGAACAAGCTTAGCAAAGCACAGGGACCGCGGTTCAATCCCCCAGCACCACATGCCAGCCAGCCCCGCCCCCTGGTGGGCTGAGCTGGCCACACACACACACATAAATAAATAAATAAAATTTTAAAAAAAAAGAGAGAGAGAGAGAAAGGAGTTTGACTTTCTCTCTTCCCTCAATAGTGTTCCCGACCAATGCTATCCCAAATTGCTCCAACACATAACCGGAAGCCACTGTGCCAGTAGTGCTACAGAATCCGGGCAAAATTCCATCATCTTCACCTAACCAGTTTGTTCAGATGAGCACTAAACTGGTCTGGAAAAAAGGTGGGAGAAAAATCAAAGCTTCAAAGGAATATCAAGTACTATTGGCTGATTTAAGCCATGCCCAACCTTTGCAACTGGGCTTCAACCAAAATTGCTTCAGCCTTGCTTGGAGCAGCAGTTAATTTTCTGGTTGCTAGGATAAAATATCTGACCAACAACCTAAAGTAGTTTATTTTGGCTCACAGTTTTGAGAGGATTCAGTTCGTAATTGGTTGGCTCCAAGGCAGAGACAATAGGGTATTAAGGCAAGTAGAGGAAACGTACTCAAGCCACAGGAGCCAGTAAAAAAGGAGCCAGAGACAAGAATGCTGCCTTCTAGGGCTGGCAAGATAGCTCAGTGGACTAAGCACCTACTTAGGCAAGCTCAGGGACTGAGATTTGAGCCCCAGCACCACATCCACTCCCCCAGGTACCCTGAGCCGGCCACCAAGACCAGGCATGGTGGTGCATGAGACCCTGTACCAAATACATTTAAAAAGAAAAGTACACCCCTCCATGTCACGCTCTCAGTGATCATACCCCAACCAGACCCTACCTGTTAGCAGCACATTCAGCTGTGAGCACAATGGATTAATTCACAATTGAGTACAGCAGCGCCATGACATAATTGCCTTTCAAAAGCCACACCTCATGAACACATGATACTCTGAGCAGTCATTTTAGATCTAAACCATAATATTTGGCCCCCATAAATAATTTTTAGAGGTCAAGATTCCAGACTAGGACCATAACTCAGAGATAAAGTCCTTGCTTAGCATGAACTAGGCCCTAGATTCAATCCTCACCACTACAGAAAAATAAAATAAAACACTTCAATACCGGATGAAGTAGAATACACCTGAAGGCTGAGACAGGAGAATCATACAACCTAGGAATTTAAGACCAGGCTGAGCAACTTAGTGAGAACCTGTCTTAAATTTTTTAAAAAGTAAGTGAAAGAATTCTTATTACTATATAAAGTTAGTCCCTTGGCCCATGTCATCATCATATAAGCAAATTCTCCTTAGTCTGTCACTCCATATAAGTCATATCCAATATCCTTTGAGCATCATGCCTGGGGTTTGTGCATAAGAGCAGTAGCCTAAAAAAAAAAAAAAAAAAGATATTGGGCCGGGGAGATGGCTCAGTGGAATAAGTGCTTCTTGGCAAGCACAAGGGCCTGAGTTCAATCTCCAGTTCTGCCAAAAAAAAAAAAAGAGCAGTAGCCTCTATTCTAAGCATTGCTTCTCATGATGGTCACTGTTCACTACAGGGCCAACTGCTGTGAAAGAACATTACAGGAAACTTCTCAGATCGTCATTTCAAAATTCTGCAGTACTATATTGTCTCCCAGATAGTGCTACTTTAAGGTATAAGAAAGGCAAATCCTATAATAGATTTACCACCTCTTGCCCAGTAGAAAATAATCTGTAATATGCATTGCCCAACATTGTAGCTCCTCACCATATGTGCCTGGTCAGTAGATATTTAAAATGGGGCTAGTGCAACCAAATTTTAAATTTATATTTGAATGTAATTAATTAATTATTTAATTTAAATTCACTAGCCACATGTGCCCATGGGCTACCACATTTGACACAGCAACTGATCACACCAAGAAAGGAGCTGCCCAGAAGAGCACCGAAAAGTCTAGATAGCTCCTCAGAGACTATTAGCTAAAGAATCAAAAATTTTTCTCACTTAGACATCAATGCAAAGAGTATCAAATGGAAGCATTAAAAAGAGTCTTTGCTACTTTACTTTACTACTGGTGCAAAGCCTCTTGGATCACAGCCTGTACTTGTCATATGATAATAAACTATTGTTTCAGTTTTTGTGGTTTCTTTTGCTATTTGTTTCCAGTTATATGGTCTGATAATAAATGTATCAATATGGTCTGTGGTCTGATAATTTCAGTTCCTTTTCATTTACTTAAGCATGTTCTATGGACTACCATGTGGTCTGTTTCAGAGAGCATCTGATATGCACCTGAGAAGAGTATGTATTCTGACACTGTGGGCTGGAGCACCCTGTAGACATATACTGTCCATTTGTTCACAGGTGTGGTTCAGTTCTGGTATTTCATTGTTGATTTTTTGTCTGGCCGACCTATTTGTGACAGTGTTTCTCTCTATCTATCTATCTATCTATCTATCTATCTATCTATCTCTATCTCTCACTCTTTCTCTCCCTCTCTCTCAGTGTCTCCTTCCTTCTCTCTCTCTTTCTCCCTCTTTCCCTCTCTCTCTCTCTCTCCCTCTCCCTCTTTCTCTCCCTCTTCCTTTCTCCTCCTCCCTCTCTCTCTGTCTCATTCCACATATAAAACAAAACAGATATTTACCTTTTTAATTCTGGTTTATTACATCTAATATGATGTTTTCCAGTACCATCCATTTTCTTGTAAATAATTTCATTTCTTAAGGTTACATAATATAGATTATGTATATATATTATATTATATATGTAAATATATTACATTTTGTGTATTCATCTGTTCATTGGCACCTAAGATGTTTCCATAGTTTGCTTAGATATTGTGAGTTGTACTACAATAAATATTGATACACTTATTAGCACAGTATAGTGTGCTAATTTAAGTTATTTCAGGAATTATAGAGAGCCCTTCCCAGTCCCCCTTGTGGCCCAAGAAGTTTATATTTATAATTCCATGGAAAAGTTATAGGAATTTTAGTGAGTTAATTCCAATCAACCGCTTCCAGAGCAGCCCATGGCAAGAATAAAGACACTAAGGCGTATTTGTAGCTAGAGGGAGCCAAGGGCTCCTAAGTTCAGCCACAGTGATGGCTATCTGGAACAAAGGCCTCGACCCAGGGCCAAACCTGAGTTTTACTAATTTTTCAAGAAAGGAGTGGCTTGAGGATGATTGACTATGAGAATTACAGGAAGTAGATGCTGTGAGCTGGGCTCGGTAGGAAGCCAGAAATCACCTTTGCTATATCCAGAGAGAAGGATATGCAGAAAGAGTAAGCTC